GGCGGCCTCGGCGCGGGGCTGGGCTGGGCCGGGAGCGGGTGCGCGCCGACAGCCGGCCGGGCAGCCGCCTCGCTCGCCTTTCACGTCGCCGCTCTGGTCGCCGCCCGGGCCGGCCCCGCTGGGGGCGGGGAGGGGCGGGGGAGGGGCCGGCAGGGGCGGGGCGGTGCGGGCCGGGCGGGTCGCCGGCGCAGCCCGAGGACGCCGCGGCGGGCCCCGAGCGCGGCCGCTGTCCGGAGACGCCTCCGGGGGCCGGGCGCGCGGGCGGTCGCGAGGCCGAGGGCGGGGGGCGGGAAGGTCCGGGCCGGGGGTCGCGGCGGGGTCGGCCCCGCGTGATCCATTCCCGGGGCTCGCGCCGCCCGGGCCGGGGGGGGGGGGGGGTGGGGGTGGGGCGGGGGTGAGGGGGGGCGGGGCCTCGGCCGGGCGGCCGCCCATTGGCCGCGGGGCCCCGATGAGAGGTGGGCTGGCCAATCACCGTCCGGCCGGGGCGGTAATTGCCTCGCCGCGGGGAGAGTGTTGGACCAAGCGTGAGTAACTGTGCGCGCGCTCGCGAGTGTGGTATGTGCGTGTGTGCACGTGTGTGTGTGTGTGTGTGTGTGGATGTGCGTATGCACAGGGGGCGTGAAGACCCCGGGACTTCTAAGAAAACCGTCCGAGGCTGGGCCACAGCCATTTTTTTCAAGACTCTGGGTGTCAGGGCTGCAAAGCTGTGGCATATTTCAATATTTACACTTAATAAAATACGCTTTCTGTGCCAAATGTGGTGCCATAGAACTCTCTGGTTCCCAGGCTCGGTCTCAGAACGTAAGGAAATGTTCGCCCCCACCCCCGCCCCGGTGGCCCTGCCGGCTGCGCAACCGAAGGCCCGCTGAGTGAGAGCGGCTCCCCAGCGTCCCGCTCTCCGGGAGGCCCGGGCCTTAGTCGGGGGACGGGAGCCACTGCCCCCGGCCACGGAAGTCTTGGGGGCAGGCCTCATCCCTCCCTGAGCCTCCGCTTCTAGACTGTGAACCCGAGGGGAGTCTCCTCCCCTTTCTGCAGCGGGGAGCGCGGTGACAAACGTGCATCCCGGCCCACGCCGTCACCCTCGGAGCTGTGTCCGCTCAGGAGTCACCTTGTGACCCAGCTTACAGCACGGTCGCGCGGGTGGAGCCGGCTTCATTGGACGCGGGTTATCTCAGAGAGACATCCTAGCCCCCAGTGCCAGCCAGGGACCCCCAGTCCAACCAAGTGCTGCCTGCGTTCTCCCGGGAGGGCTGCAGGCCGGGTTCCTGGCTCGTTTCAAGTTTCCGATCAGCCACCGCGCGGGAGCATCAACCCCATTTTCCAGAGGGGAAAACAGAGGCGAGGCGAGGAGAGACTACTCCAGGTGGTAAGTGGCTCTGGCAGGCCTGTAATTCCGGTGCTCTGGGCCCAGGGTCCTTCCCTGCACCGCCGCCCCGGAGTCGGATGGGGGAACCGCGTGGTGAGGCCCGGACACCAGGCCCGGACAAAGCACAGCCTCCGGACTCTGCAACGCTGCACGTCCTGAGTGCGTTTCCTGGCGTGCCTGCCTCCAGCCGGCTTCCCCTGGTCGACCCCACGCCAGCCCGGGAGTCCCAGGTGCTGGGATACACATGGGGCGGGGGTGCGTTTCTGCAGCCTTGAAAACCAGATGCTGCGCCCATCTTCTCTGGCCCTCACATTCCGCCCCCGGAAGGGGCAAAGACCATCAGAGGCAGGGACTCACCCCAGCCTGGAGGCAGACACAAGGATGAAGACTCTTCCCACTTGGCAGAGATAAGGACGCTGAGCAAAAGTGGAGACAGCTGGGGTCTTAGGGAAGAAGTGGGGTCTCCCAAGTATTGTTCCCTGGGGGCACCCAGGGTCAGAGAAACTCCAGGGGGGTAGAGCCAGAAGGGGGCTAAGCCCAGGGAAGAAATGGCAGCCTCAGTCCTTTGGGAAAAGAAAGTGCTAGCCCGGGGCTCATCACACCGTCTAATCCCTCACCCGAGGGCACTTCTGATAGTTGGGGAAACTGAGGCCAGAGAGGGACCCAGATAAAAAGACAATGGCTGTAGGGGTGGGTGCCTTCCAGATAACCACCTACTTGAGGCAAATTGTCCTGGACCCACCTTCAGCACATTTCTTGAACCACAAGCCTGAGAGGTTGGTGCCCTTACTCCCATTATTTCCAAGCACCTTGAGAGTGGGGGCTTCCTCAAGGAGTCTGGGTTTAAATTCTCTCTGCTCTCGGGCTGTGTGGCCCTGGGCGCGGGTGCCTCCCCTCTGATCTCGGTTTCTTCTATGAACCTCTGGTAGTAAGCGCCCTGCCACGGCAGGCTCTTGGGAGGGAGGCTGGGCGCACCCGGGCGGGGGGACCCAGGCACCGGCGCTCTCCGCGGTCGCCCTACTGCCCCTGCCGCGCGGGGGCGGGGGGCGAGAAGTTCGGGGTGGGAGGCGAGGGGACAGGCTGAATGCGAGCGGAAGAACCTGGGCCTTCTCGCCGCCTCCCTGGGCTTGCGGAGGGCGCTTCTGCGCCGCGGGCACCGGTTCGCGACGACTGTGACCGCGGAGCCCGAACGCGCGGCGCGGTCATGGGAGAGCGGGCAGATGATCACCGCTGGGGCTCGGGGTGGG